TATATATATATATATATATATAATAGCAGAAATTTTATATGCAAAAGAATTTGCGTTGTACAAGATACATTGTACAGACAGTATTGGTTAGGTATTGTTTCTGCTGTGTCTCTATAGTACCATAGTAGTTCAAAAAGCATTTTGTAAAGCTCTTAGATTATGCATTGGAAATTGCGAATTGAACATTAGAATTTAACCAATCGGATAATTTTAATCCGTTTCATTCTACTTGATGGAATTGGATCTCTAATTCACGGTCTTCAACTTTCAATGCATAATCTGATACGGGTTTAAAAATTGAACTTGCATTGAATTAATATTGAGGGAAGAAATAAAATAGAATACTTAATGTATGTCTGTCATAAATTAAGATTCATTTCTTGCTTTTTGATTCTCCTTTCCTTTCTTTCGATATATGCAAGTATTATATATGATGAAATAGCATTTTTTATTTCTTTTACAACTTCATACACTAGTATAAAAACATCTCATAAAGATACTTGTATGTACAATTTTATCTAGGATAGAGATGATGGTAAAGCATCACGAGCAAATATCACGTGTAATGCTGGAAATCATGTATAGTACTAATATCGTTTTCAAGCTTCCTTACTCTTGGTGAGTTCTTCAACTAATTTTCTAAACACCTGTGCGACTTGACTGTCGGGTAATGTCACCAAAACACTTTGTCCCTTGTCTGCTAACTTGCCGACTTGTGGATCTATTGGTACTTTAGCTAGAAATGGAACTTTCACCATCTCGGAGAGGGCTATCCCACCACCTGAGGAGAATATATTGGTGCATTCCTGTGTAAAAAGTAAGATTTATTAAAATTATATTGAACAATTATATTAATTACACAAAAGCTATGATCCAAGCGGGATGTTCATTGCTCAATAATGATTAAATTTTATAAACAAAAAATACACAAACGTATTTACCCCTATTGGATTATTATCAATGTGACAATTTAAAATAATCAATAAAACATGGAATATTATATCATAATAGTGCGAATGAATTTTGTAAGATCATGTCTTTTTTCTTTTTAATTGTTTAACATCTCGACTATTTTAAATTGTTACCTGAATGATCAAGTTAAATTGTCACATTGGTAATGATCCGATAAAAGTCAAAACATTTGTGTATGTTTTGTTTACAAAATTTAATAATTATTAAGCAATAAACATCTTGTAGCCCTTTGTATTATTAGGAGTGTGATTTAGGGTTTTTTTCTCAAAAATTGATTTATTTAAACAACATATCACGTAAACATTTAATAATTATTATATGATCAACATTTAATTCTCTGTCAAGTTCTGACGTGGATTGTGATGCTGAATTTTCAATAATGTTTGCAAATCTGCATTTTTCAGCTTTTGTTGTTAATATTGGAATTACTTTTGAATCGATAGAAGAAGAATATTTACACGTCCTAATTAATGGAGCAAATGATAACCCTAAATTTCTATGAGCCGCCGTTTTCTTCTGATTAAAAAACAAAAGCAATGTATGTCAAAATTCTCTTTAGGAAGCTTCATTTCTAAAATGGTATCAACATGATGTTCATTGCGTCTGTTATTAGTAAATGATTAAATATCATGAGTAAGAGTAATATTAAAGCAAAAAATAATAGCTGTGATTGGAATGTCTTCGACAATATTGACATTAATACTATCTCTTGTAAAACTTCAAAACTAAATCACACTCCTAATATATATTTTTTAAATTATTTGTTATATTATTATTAAATTATTTACATTAATTACAATTATAAATGGAAAATAGTACTTACTGTACATGAAGGACAAACAAAGCCACTCATATTTTCAATGATGCCGATTATATGAATACCAGTTTTTCTACAAAATGTCACCTCTCGCAGAACATCATCTATTGCAACTGCTTGTGGAGTGGTCACTATTATTGCACCATCGCATTTTACATTTCTGTAATAATTTCAGTTCACAAATGTCTTACAATATAGTTAAAAAGGTCTATTTTTTATTCTCTTCTTACATTCATTCTTTGCATTGATGAACTTATATTTGTTTTACTTCAACTTATTGAACCATGTGTTCAGAGAGTATAGGAATAAAAAACAGACCTAAATATTGTAATTTATCCCAGCTAAAATAAAATAAAAAAATACAAAGAGCAAAGAAGCACCATATTCGATCAAAGCAAGAGTTTTCCCAATATATTTTGTAATATTTTTGTATGAATCTTTCAATTTTTTTATTTCTGCAATAAATTTTTTGTATTTTAATATGTTTTAAAGATGCTCATTAACATCAGTATTATTGGATTGCTTATCAATGTAATTTGTGATATTACGTACTTCAGCTTTAGTTTAGGACTATGTTCCACTAACAATTTCCAGTTTAACAAAAATATTATTAATCACTAAAACTCGCTTTGACTGAATATTTTTTACTTATTTATGTTGAACTTTTTTTTAATTGATCTTTACTTACTATTAAATATAAATTTTATACATGGATAATATTATTCACATAACATTAACCTTAAATTCTCCATGACTGTAATGTGTTCATCAGAAGTGCCAGGTGGTGTGTCGATGATCAGATAATCAATATCCCGCCAAACCACATCTGATAAAAACTGTTTGATCATACCATTCTTTTTAGGCCCGCGCCAGACCACACTATCGTTCTGACTTTTCAGGAGAAAACCAATCGACATAACAGATAGCTTCTGTTCTGAATCAGCAAACACTGGTATCCATCTATTGATTCATATGACTTATTAATAGCATATTTACTGCCCTATTCTGTAACTCTTAATTAACAGTCAGATATTTTATATATTTTAAAAAAACTGCACAACAGCACATAATGATATCGATATTGTTAAAAGTTACAAAATAGAGCCCGTGATTATTATAATTATTAAGGAATTAATACTCAAATAATAAAGGACAGACCCTTCAGAAGATTGGTGAACATCTTTCCCTTCTAAGTTCAGTAAGTAAGGTACACTGGGACCACAGAGATCAATATCCAAAATCCCAACCTATGATAATTCATAATTTGTTTCAATTATTTCATGATGATATAATCGATTTTTCCATTTCATTTTTGAATATATATCTTATCATTTACAAAATGATTTTACTAAACATATACTTGGTGCTTGTCTTTACACTTTTAATATAATTTTTTAAGGTGGATTTGGTTTTAATTAATCAATTAATTTCTATATAAGTTAAATTGTATTACAAAAAGTATAAATTGGAAAACTTGTTCATTGTAATTTATTTACTTGTTTGTTGCATTAATAATAATGTAGAAGAGAGTTATAAAATTATTTTAAAGATATATTACTTGAAAGCATAATTATTAAATGAAAATTTTTATATAAATTGGAATATTTAAGAAATATTGAGCAAATGGTTTTATGGTTTTAGAATTTTTCATTATATGAATTTTGGAATATTCTAAAAATTCTAAAATTTTGTATTATATAATTTCTGAAAAAGTATATTAAACTTTTTTAAATTTTATAGGATTTTATCAGAAATTATGAAATGGAAAAAGTCTTAAATATTTCAAAATTCACATATGTAAAGAATTCCAGAAAAGATAAACTTTCTTAATACTTAGAAAAAACATTCTAATTTATATAAAGAATCTGAGAAATTTTCTAAAAAATTATAAAAATATTCAGAATTCTAAAAAAAATCAGAAATCTTTTTACAAAAAATTCTGAAGAATTATATAAAAAATTATGAGAAAAATTTTCATTAGGGTAAATGTTTTAATTCTACAATGAATCGGTAATCAGAAATCTCAAGTCTCAACCAGTTTTAACCTAAATAGGTAACTATGAGTTTTTGCATCTATTAATTGTTATACAGCGAATCGAGTTGTTTAGAATTAGCTCGATTCTCTAATGGGAAGGAATAAAGTCGAATTTGATCAGTCTTAAAAAAATCGATAGTTTTAGTTGTACAAGTTGGCTGTTGGCCAACTTCACCGATTCACTGATAAAACTTAGGACTACTGACTCATTGTAGAATCATCTATTCTTTCAGAACTTTTGGAACTTGTGGAGAGACTCGGACACACTCACTCGAAAGCCTGATTCCTTCAATGCAAGAGCCAGCTGAGTGCTGATCGTCGATTTGCCAACACCACCTTTTCCTGAAAGTACTAACAGCACGTGCTTCACTCCCTCCAGCATTGTGGAAAAATTAGTAATTGATTGACGACGAGAAATCAAATTGGAAATGGATGACACGTACGCGATCACGGAATGATTACGACAGTTGTTGAGCAACAAAAAAGTATAAACGAGGTCACGTCGAATTTTCACATAACCGACGATATCACGCTTGACCATGCGTAGAGAGTAAAACTTAAACGACTAACAATTCTAGCGTTATTGTATTATATTTCGCATCGGATTATAAGCATAACCTCAATGTGATATTTCAAGCGACGGTATATACATAACATACAGCGGTCAGCGCTAGTCAGCGCTATTTACCCGATTTATCGTCAAATTGTGCAACTAGGTATTATTGCAAGTCATGAGGAAATATTTCAATTCTTGAAAAGATTCAATTTATTATCGAATAACTGCAATTTTTAACAAGATTTATATGAAATTTAATTGGATTTTTGCAAAATTCGACTACCTATACAAAGTTTTATTTAACAATGAAAATTGTTTATTTTTATTTTTTCAGTGCAAATTCCAGTTTTCTTAGAACTTTTATGAAATGGATCTTTGAAATATTTTTTTTAGAAATACTGAGAAAGTATCTTTTCTTAGAATTTTTTATATATGTGATTTTTGAAATATTCTAAAATTTCTAGAATTTTCATTCTCTCTCTCTCTCTCTCTCTCTCTCTCTCTCTCTCTCTCTCTCTCTATATATAT